GCCTCATACGAGCTGTGTCTGTAAGCTCGTATTGATTTTAGCCAGAGGTGCTGTCTCCATCACTCAGTGTTTTAATCTATCTGTTGATGCAGCACACACATATGATCGGGGCTGATTACTGTTTACTGCCGGCGGTTCGATACGCAGCCATGGAGCTGCACTAACATTAACCGTGTGCTTAGATCGCTGGTGGAGAGACAGCGTAACAGTGTGTGGACTTATTTGAATTCATCCGTGCCTTCATTACTCTCACCCCCAACTCTCTCCTTGAACTGCACTGCACCCTGTGCTCCAGCTGCAGCTCTGTAGGCTTGAGCTCGTCTAATGACCATAAAGCACAGAAAATACTCTGCGTCTGTAGGAGGTTTGATTGGATTCTCATTTCTCCGCTCTTAGTGCATTTTCTCTTGCATGTCGATATATTGTCCGCCATACAGTACACGACGCAGAAACAAAGAGAAAATGCACTTAGGATGCATCACTAAATCAATAAACGTATGCAAAAGAATGAATATTTATTGGGTTTGTGAAAACATAGAGTATAGATGCCAAAAAATGATAATGCAAATGGCTCTGAATGGCTGCATCCATACAGACACAAGGCTTTTTGCTGATAGTAAGAGGAGAGATGCTCACATTAAAGCAGCCTGGGTAAACATAATAAATAATTTTATAATAGTTTGCAGGACATCTGCCTGAGGACACCAAAATGCAGAGTGGGGTTAGGAATATGAGCAAGAGCAGGAAATAAAAATGAACAGATTGTCACGAGCATAATCAGCAAATATGATTATTATTATAATGCACTTCTGCATAACTGGGACTCCACATATGTTTTCCAGCATCACGATTATAACAGGGTTTTTTTCCATTTTCTGTCCCTCTGTTGTTTCATCAAATCATGCAGTTGTATATATTCCAGTGTACGATATTATTTATATTATGTCCCCTCTGTGTCCTTCAGAACAGTTAATGTAGCTTTCCACCTGTGCGCCCTCTGACCATGTCTGCCTAACCTTAAACCCCCAAACGTTATTTGCCCATTCCACCATGAAGTTATTCAACCACGTGCAAGCATGCATTAATGAGCTTTAGTCATACACCATGCACACACACACACACACACACACACACACACGCTGGCACACTAAATGACTAACCACAAATGGAGCCCACCTGAGGTATCGACCCTGGCATAGCTTGGCCACGTCTTGATTTTTCTAGTTGTGACACGCAGGTTCTCTTGGTTCACTCTAATCAACTCTTATAGAGCTATTTTCGGCAACAGGCAGCTGTTTTCAGCAAAAAGGTATTAAAACTAATTAAATAATGTCTGCTCAGCACCAAACGACAAATTAGCTGTTGGACATAGCGAAGCATTTTGCAGCTAAAGAGACAGCTTTTTCTCTGAGAGACTTAAAACTGTACTAAAACAAAAAGAATATTGGACAGAAGCGTGATGAATGATGCTCTCTACCTACTGGACATGTAGGAGACACAAACAACCTATAATTTCCAAGAGACAGAAACTACATTATAGCGCATGTCACAAATGTAAATCGTGGAGAGACAGCTACCAAAAATCTCTCTGTCCAGACTCCAATAATCCTGTTCTGTGCTGCCGCCAGCGCTGTGCCCCATCTCCTCCCTCCTCTCACTGTTCTCACCGAGCTGGCAAACAAAACATCGCCTGTGGCCTAGATTACTTTCTGAAAAACTTTCTAACCCATGTCTAAGAAAGTAGCGTAATCTACTGATGCAACACCATTCATGTTGCCAGAGGTTGAACTGTTATTCCTGCTTTTAAAAAAAGATTATCAAGCTTGAAGAAATTCTTTAATAAATAATTTCAACTTCTGTCTGCAGCTAAACCCAATAAAAGCTTTTTATTGTATGTGTGTTCATGTTTTCCAAATAATATCTTGTCTCACAATGGCAGGCATGTTTCCACCCCCAGCCGCTCGTCCCACTGGCTCTCTCTCTTGTGTTTTCCCCTGGCTGTTTGCTCTGCATCGACCCCAGACAACATGAGGGTTTTGTCATCATTTATCGTTCACGCTTCCTGACTGTCACACTTCCCCTCTAGCCTGGCGAGCCCCAGCTGTGTTAGGAGGGAGCGACGTGCGTTTCACAGCCCAGATGCTGCTGCAGCCGCGGCCTTTACGCGCTCCAGTGCACTACTAGAAAAGTTCACTGTAGTGTGTGGCCTGTATAGTCAGGCTCAGGTGCTAGAGGAAGAGTCCTGTGTTTGTGTGTACAGATATCTTTGTGAGGACTATTTTGAGCTCACAACTACGGCGTGAGGACATTCTGGCCTTTCGATGAGCTATTTAAGGGTTTTTAGGGTTAGGGGTAGAATGAGGGTTGAGGTAAGGGTTTAGTCGTGATGGTTAAAGTTAGAGTAAGGGGCAAGGGAATGAATTATCCCAGTGTGTGCACTCACTAAGACAGAGGGACTAGAATGTGTGTGTGTGTGTGTGTGTGTGTGTGTGTGTGTGTG